ACTGCTTGAGCAAATATTTGCAAAGCCACCAGTGAGGATCGAACTCACGACCCCTGGTTTACAAGACCAGTGCTCTGCCACTGAGCTATGATGGCGACGGATTTCACTCATATTACTCATTGCACATTTTTTTTTTTTTTGAAATTTCTCTCGCATATCAATTTATATATATATATATATATATATATATATATATATATATATATATATATATATTAATATATATATATATATGAACAAACCTTTTCTTCCTAAAAAGACATTCCTCTTCTGGATCGAAATATTCCAGATACATCGAGTGAGAATCGAATGCACTATAAAAAAAAAATACGGAAAATACGTCTTTTTATTAGAAACAACATAATGCTTGAGCAAATATTTGCAAAGCCACCAGCGAGGTTTGAACTCACGACCCCTGGTTTACAAGACCAGTGCTCTGCCACTGAGCTATGATGTCGAGGATTTCACTCATATTACTCGTTGCACATTTTTGTTTTTTTAGTGACATTTCTCTCGCATAGCAATTTATATATATATATATATATATATATATATATATATATATATATATATATATATATATATATAGGTATGAAAATCCTTTCTCTTCCTAAAAAGACATTCCTCTTCCGGATCGAAAAATTCCGGATACATCGAGTGTGAATCGAATGCATTATGCAAAAAATAATCCTTCTTTCATACACCATTCTCTCAATCAATTCTTTCTTGCCTCTAGCATTCAATAACGTAAAAAAAAAATAGCTTAACAAATTCATTTGCAAAGCGCAGCTATACTTTCAAACCCGACCCAACAACAAAATGAAATTTGAAATGCGCGCCCACAAATGCCACGAAAATTCTAGAAAAGTTAGGGTTGCCATATGTTGTATTTAAAAGCAAGGTTACCATGACGGCGCAATTATCGCCAACCAAAGTAATTCGCGCCAAGGGTGGGGGGCTCTCCTAGGAGTGAACCGAAACCTTTCTCTTCCTAAAAATACATTCCTCTTCTGGATCGAAAATTTCCGGATGCATCGAGGAGTGAATCGAATGCACTATCAAAAGAAAATATGAAGATGCGTCTTTTCATTAGAAACAACATACTGCTTGAGCAAATATTTGCAAAGCCACCAGTGATGATCGAACTCACGACCCCTGGATTACAAGACCAGTGCTCTGCCACTGAGCTATGATGGCGACGGAATTCACTATTATTACTCATTACAGATTTTTGTTTTTTTAATGACATTTCTCTCGTTTATTAGATTTGTAAGTAAGAAACTTTTCTCTTTCTAAAAAGACATCCCTCTTTTGGATCGAAATATTCCGGATACATCGAGTGAGAATCGAATGCACTATAAAAAGAATAATACGGAAAATGCCTCTTTTCATTAGAAACAACAGACTGCTTGAGCAAATATTTGCAAAGCCACCAGTGAGGATCAAAATCACGACCCCTGGTTTACAAGACCTGTGCTCTGCCACTGAGCTATGATGGCGATGTATTTCACTCATATTACAATTGCACATTTTTGTTTTTTTAGTGACATTTCTCTCGCAAAGCAATTTATATATATATATATATATATATATATATATATATATATATATATATATACATATATATATATATATATAGGTATGAAAATCCTTTCTCTTCCTAAAAAGACATTCCTCTTCTGGATGGAAAAATACCGGATACATCGAGTGTGAATCGAATGCACTATCAAAAGAAAAATACGGAAGATTCGTCTTTTCATTAGAAACAACATACTGCTTCAGCAAATATTTGCAAAGTTACCATTGAGCAACGAACTCCCGAACCCTGGTTTACAACACCAGTGCTCTGCCACTGAGCTATGATTGCGACGGATTTCACTCTTATTACTCATTACAGATTTTTGTTTTTTTAGTTACATTTCTCTCGCATTGCAATTTATATATATATATATATATAGGTATGAAAAAGCTTTTTCTTCCTAAAAATACATCCCTCTTTTGCATCGAAATATTCCGGATACATCGAGTGAGAATCGAATGCACTATAAAAAGAATAATACGGAAAATGCATCTTTTCATTAGAAACAATATACTGCTTGAGCAAATATTTGCAAAGCCACCAGTGAGGAACGAACTCACGACCCCTGGTTTACAAGACCAGTGCTCTGCCACTGAGCTATGATGGCGACGGATTTCACTCATATTACTCATTGCACATTTTTAGTTTTTTTAGTGAAATTTCTCTCGCATAGCAATTTATATATATATATATATATAGGTATGAAAAACTTTTTCTTCCTAAAAAGACATTCCTCTTCTGGATCGAAATATTCCGTATACATCGAGTGAGAATCGAATGCACTATAAAAAAAATGGAAAATGCGTCTTTTCATTAGGAACGACATAATGCTTGAGCAAATATTTGCAAAGCCATCAGCGAGATTTGAACTCGTGACCCCTGGTTTACAAGACCAGTGCTCTGCCACTGAGCTATGATGGCGACGGATTTCTCTCATAATACTCATTGCACATGTTTGTTTTTTTGTGACATTTCTCTCGTATATTAATTTTTTAAGTAAGAGAAACTTTTCTCTTCCTAAAAAGACATTCCTCTTCTGGATCGAAAAATTCCGGATACATTGAGTGTGAATCGAATGCACTTTCAAAAGAAAAAAAAGGAAGATGCGTCTTTTCCATAGAAACAACATACTGCTTTAGCAAATACTTGCAAAGTTACCTTTGAGCATCGAACTCACGACCCCTGGTTTACAAGACCAGTGCTCTGCCACTGAGCTATGATGGCGACGGTCTTCACTCATATTACTCATTGCACATTTTTTTTTTTTAGTGATATTTCTCTCGTAAAGCAATATATATATATATATATAGGTATGAAAAACCTTTTCTCTTCCTAAAAAACATTCCTCTTCTGGATCGAAAAATTCCGGATACATCGAGTGTGAATCGAATGCACTATCAAAAGAAAAAAATACGGAATATTCGTCTTTTCATTAGAAACAACATACTGCTTCAGCAAATATTTGCAAAGCCACCATAGAGCATCGAACTCACGAACCCTGGTTTACAAGACCAGTGCTCTGCCACTGAGCTATGATAGCGACGGATTCGCTCTTATTACTCATTGCACATTTTTGTTTTTTTAATGACATTTATCTCGTTTTATTAGATTTGTATGTAAGAGAAACTTTTTCTCTTCCTAAAAGACATTCCTCTTTTGGATTGAAATATTCCGGATACATCGAGTGAGAATCGAATGCACTATTAAAAGAAAATACGGAAAATGCGTCTTTTCATTAGAAACAACATACTGCTTGAGCAAATATTTGCAAAGCCACCAGTGAGGATCGAACTCACGACCCCTGGTTTACAAGACCAGTGCTCTGCCACTGAGCTATGATGGCGACGGTTTTCACTCATATTACTCATTGCACATTTTTTGTTTTTTTTTAGTGACATTTCTCTCGCATATATATATATATTATATATATATATATATAATATGAAAAACCTTTCTCTTCCTAAAAAGACATTCCTCTTCTGGATCGAAATATTCCGGATACATCGAGTGAGAATCGAATGCACTGTAAAAAGAATAATACGGAAAATGCGTCTTTTCATTAGAAACAACATACTGCTTGAGCAAATATTTGCAAAGCCACCAGTGAGGATCGAACTCACGACCCCTGGTTTACAAGACCAGTGCTCTGCCACTGAGCTATGATGGCGACGGTTTCACTCCTATTACTCATTGCACATTTTTGTTTTTTTAATGACATTTCTCTCGCATAGTTTATTATATTTTTAAGTATAGATAAAAAATCCTTTTCTCTTCCTAAAAGACATTCCTCTTCTGGATCGAAATATTCCGGATACATCGAGTGAGAATCGAATGCACTATTAAAAAAAATATGGAAAATTGCGTCTTTTCATTAGAAACAACATACTGCTTGAGCAAATATTTGCAAAGCCACCAGTGAGGATCGAACTCACGACCCCTGGTTTACAAGACCAGTGCTCTGCCACTGAGCTATGATGGCGACGGATTTCACTCATATTACTCATTGCACATTTTTGTTTTTTTAGTGACATTTCTCTCGCATAGCAATTTATATATATATATATATATAGGTATGAAAATCCTTTCTCTTCCTAAAAAGACATTCCTCTTCTGGATCGAAATATTCCGGATACATCGAGTGAGAATCGAATGCACTATTAAAAAAATACGGAAGATGCGTCTTTTCATTAGAAACAACATACTGCTTGAGCAAATATTTGCAAAGCCACCAGTGAGGTTCGAACTCACGAACCATGGTTTACAAGACCAGTGCTCTGCCACTGAGCTATGATGGCGACGGAATTCACTCTTATTACTCATTACAGATTTTTGTTTTTTTAATGACATTTCTCTCGTTTATTAGATTTGTATGTATGAAACTTTTCTCTTTCTAAAAAAGACATCCCTCTTTTGGATCGAAATATTCCGGATACATCGAGTGAGAATCGAATGCACTATAAAAAGAATAATACGGAAAATGCGTCTTTTCATTAGAAACAACATACTGCTTGAGCAAATATTTGCAAAGCCACCAGTGAGGATCGAACTCACGACCCCTGGTTTACAAGACCAGTGCTCTGCCACTGAGCTATGATGGCGACGGTTTCACTCATATTACTCATTGCACATTTTTGTTTTTTTAGTGACATTTCTCTCGCATAGCAATTTATATATATATATATATATATATATATATATATATATATATATATATATATATATATATATATATATAGGTATGAAAATCCTTTCTCTTCCTAAAAAGACATTCCTCTTCTGGATCGAAATATTCCGGATACATCGAGTGAGAATCGAATGCACTATAAAAAAAATACGGAAGATACGTCTTTTCATTAGAAACAACATACTGCTTCAGCAAATATTTGCAAAGCCACCAGCGAGGTTTGAACACACGAACCATGGTTTACAAGACCAGTGCTCTGCCACTGAGCTATGATGGCGACGGAATTCACTCTTATTACTCATTACAGATTTTTGTTTTTTTAATGACATTTCTCTCGTTTATTAGATTTGTAAGTAAGAGAAACTTTTCTCTTTCTAAAAAGACATCCCTCTTTTGGATCGAAATATTCCGGATACGTCGAGTGAGAATCGAATGCACTATAAAAAGAATAATACGGAAAATGCGTCTTTTCATTAGAAACAACAGACTGCTTGAGCAAATATTTGCAAAGCCACCAGTGAGGATCAAACTCACGACCGCTGGTTTACAAGAGCAGTGCTCTGCCACTGAGCTATGATGGCGATGTATTTCACTCATATTACTCATTGCACATTTTTGTTTTTTAGTGACATTTCTCTCGCATAGCAATTTATATATATATATATATATATATAGGTATTAAAATCCTTTCTCTTCCTAAAAAGACATTCCTCTTCTGGATCGAAAAATACCGGATACATCGAGTGTGAATCGAATGCACTATCAAAAGAAAGATACGGAAGATTCGTCTTTTCATTAGAAACAACATACTGCTTCAGCAAATATTTGCAAAGTTACCATTGAGCATCGAACTCACGAACCCTGGTTTACAAGACCAGTGCTCTGCCACTGAGCTATGTTTGCGACGGATTTCACTCTTATTACTCATTACAGATTTTTGTTTTTTTAGTTACATTTCTCTCGCATAGCAATTTATATATATATATATATATATATAAAGGTATGAAAAAGCTTTCTCTTCCTAAAAATACATCCCTCTTTTGCATTGAAATATTCCGGATACATCGAGTGAGAATCGAATGCACTATAAAAAGAATAATACGGAAAATGCGTCTTTTCATTAGAAACAATATACTGCTTGAGCAAATATTTGCAAAGCCACCAGCGATGTTTAAACTCACGACCCCTGGTTTACAAGACCAGTGCTCTGCCAAAGAGCTATAATGGCGACGGATTTCACTCATATTACTCATTGCACATTTTTGTTTTTTTAATGACATTTCTCTTGTTTATTAGATTTTTAAGTAAGAGAAACTTTTCTCTTCCTAAAAAGACTTTCCTCTTCTGGATCGAAGTATTCCGGAAACATCGAGTTTGAATCGAATGAACTATCAAAAGAAAAATATAGAGGATGCATCTTTTCATTAGAAACAACATACTGCTTGAGCAAATATTTGCAAAGCCACCAGTGAGGATCGAACTCACGACCCCTGGTTTACAAGACCAGTGCTCTGCCACTGAGCTATGATGGCGACGGTCTTCACTCATATTACTCATTGCACGTTTTTGGTGTTTTTTACCACTAAAGACCAGTGTTAGGTCAGCGATGCACGTTAAATCTGTCGAGAGCTGAAACGTCCTCCCGTTGGTGTGGTGTGGGAGTTAGGAGAGGGGGTGCCAGCTCACATTTCAAAAGCCCTCGTGTAGCTGAACAGTGCGACGTTAATATTAAATCAATCAATTAATCAATCTGCCACTGAGCTATGATGTCGAGGATTTCACTCATATTACTCATTGCACATTTTTTGTTTTTTTATTGACATTTCTCTCGCATTTATATATATATATATATATATATATATATATATATATATATATATATATATTAAAATATATAAAAACAATCACAATTATCATTTTAAAAATTGAAATATATGAATCCCAAAATACCAAAACACTTCAGAATATCAATGGCGAATATAAAAGATAATGTTCCATCATTTTCAAACAAAATTAAAAAATTATATAATAAAATAAAAATTTATAAAATATCCAAGTGCAATCTCGGACTTAGGACCGATAAGTGGGGTTAAACTAGTTGGATGGCGCCAACCTTTCCCCTATTGCAACTTGGTAATTTAATTGGAAAATTTTCAAATTTCAGAAAAAAAAAATTAAAAAGTTAAAATAAATCATTATACTTGAAAAATAAAACTATTCGCCATCACATTCCGAAAGATATTGCAATATTAAAATTTAAAAACAATTTAGTACATAATATAAGTGAACCCTCAAACTTCCAAGATGATGCACACATCTTTAAAATAGTTGTAAAGGTAGAAAAAATAAATTCCTGATCCGAAAGTTCAAATCAAAAATATTTGAGATCCGAAAGTTCAAATCAAAAATTATCTAAAATCAAAAAGTTCAAGTTAAAAAATCCGAAAGTTCAAATTAAAAAATCCGAAAGTTCAAGTTAAAAATCCGAAAGTTCAAGTTAAAAATCCGAAAGTTCAAGTTAAAAAATAATCCGAAAGTTCAAGTTAAAAATCCGAAAGTTCAAGTTAAAAATCCGAAAGTTCACAAATAATCCGAAAGTTCAAGTTAAATAATCCGAAAGTAAAAGTTATATAATACGAAAGTTCAGGTTAAATAATCCGAAAGTTCAAGTTAAAAAATCCGAAAGTTCAAGTTAAAAATATAATACGAAAGTTCAAGTTAAAAATCTGAAAGTTCA